ATAAATATATAAATATATACCCTATAAAGAAGTCTTCTGACTAAGGTAGTGTGGCATACAGAAAGGCACACAGAAATCAAGGCAAAAGTTTTAAACTTGGGCTCCTTAACTCTGGTTGAAAAAACCTAGCAAAATAAGGAACTTCCCCGTTCCTCAGAAGCACCGAGCATCTGATCTCTGCATGAGTTATGAGACCCACAGCTGCACAACACCTCTGAAAAGGAGACCCTTCACTGAGCTCCCTAAATATAGATGTAACAACAGAGCTGTGCAGAAGTGTTCAGTTTCCCCAAACCCACACTGCTGAGCAATGGCAGAGTAAGGAACAATGCTCCGTGTGAACTGGTGGAAAATTCTTTCTCTCTACTTCCACTTACTTCCGTACAAGCAAATCTGCAGTGTAACAAAAAATGGAGTGGGATTTTGGCATTGTTGGCATGCAAATTTGTAGAGGGTGACTTAAAGACTTACAACAAGGTAAAGGAGTTGGTGAGTGAGACAGACTGACAGTTCAGCTGGCTCTGCTTTGATGCGACCCCTTCCTTAGACCAGTGTATGCCATTATTTCACAGAATCCTGTGGGGGGCCTATATGTGGCTTTCACGTACTTGGCTGGTCTCACTGGCGTTATCATCACATTGGCCCTCATATTAATCATCACGTCATCCACCAAAACCATCCGAAGGTCGTATTTCGAAGTATTTTGGTACACCCACCATCTCTTTGTCATCTTCTTTATTGGCCTTGTCATCCATGGTGCTGGGTGAGTATTTGCACTTATCACATAATGCACAGTAACTACTGTTATCTTAATGTAAAGCCCTCTACACACATAACTGTAGGGACTTGAGTCACTGAGCAGCAGTTATTTTTTATGGTAAAGATGGGCCAATAGAAGCTCTGTGAGCCAAGAGGCTCTCACCAATACATGCAACTAGCGATTCACATGAGGTGTTATGGGACACTGGCATATTTCAGCTCACTCAACTTTTTCTGATATTTTAATGGGTTCCTGTTTCTAATTGTTAATTTATCTTTCTCTCCTAAAAGCAATTGCATCACACACATGCATGTAAAAAGACCTCACCATAAAAATTATATAGAGCGCAGGATCTTGTTGGGTAAACAAAATCTATAATAACACAGATTTATCTTTCAGACTTGGATGAACTTCTAATACCAGCAGTACTGCAGAACAGATTTTTAGCTGTTGCAGCCCAAATATAGGCAACTGTAAGTTCTTGCAACTTCCAAATGCCAAACATCTTTTTCTACTGTTGGCTCATTCCATACCTTCTTCTGAAATAGCTGAAAAGCCTAATGAAACAGTTTTAGCACTATGCAAACACTATTGTAGCACTTCTTAGAAAAATGAACTTTAGTTCCATTTTATAAAACCACAGAACCAATGCATAAAGGAAAAAAAAAAGGCCACATTTCATAGTTCATAATTATGCTATACTGTCCATTTTAAAGGAAATTCTAGGTGCACTAGAAAGTGTGCTTTAAAAATGGCCATCAAAAATGACTATTCAAAACCACTTCTTCTCAGTCCAGCAGTGCCAGAAAAAAAGACAGAAATGAGACTACAACAGGAAGAACAAAAATAGAAAGCAGATGAGAATCTCCACCAGCATATTTGTCCACTCCAACTTCCAAAACAGGAGGGAGAAGGTTTGAGGAAAACCTGTTGAAGGAAAAGAACAAGTGGCTCATGTTTCCTGCAGCAAATACTGTATAGTTACCGACAAAACATCCAAACTTGCCAGTAGTTACTACACAACACTACCAGAAAGCAAGCATTCCTCTTTCTAGAGATCAGTGAGGAGCATATATCTCATAAAACTTGACTTATTTACTTGGACATGCACTATACTTCCACCATTTTAACTGCACTGTACTGAAAAGACAAGAGTTTGGGCAGCAGTGGGGTTGAACGTGATTGTCAGAGAAGTTCAGCTATCCTTTGGAAGGAGATCAACACAGGAGTATCATTATCTGTAGAGGGAAGGATGCTTTCTGGCTGTGAACTCAGTGGCCTCACTTATTTGGCCTTAAAGGCAAGAATGACATTTTGAGTTTAGAGAAAATAGTAACACACTAAAAAGTATTGGAAAGGCTTTTTACACTCAAGAAAGGCATTTTAGGTGTGCAAAGATGGATGTTACGGAGTAAGTATGATCTGGCAGTCTTAAAGTAACATGATAGAGAGAGGCACAGATGTCAGTTTATCTCAGGAGATGAAAGGCTGTGTGTCATACATATGTACATATACATACATACATATATGTATGTACAGAAAACTGAACCAAAGGTAATTAGTTGAGTCGAAGGGGCAGATTCTTGTCCATTACAAGCTGTTACAGCACTTTCATAGCACTGATGTTTTTTGAGCATGATCTATGTGTCACAGACAAATGTCCCAAACTTCCCATCATAGTAGAGGTAAAGAGGAGAGAGTACAGAGATTCAGATCATCCTGCCTTGGAAGCTAAAGTACAACTCTGAGCTGAAAAAGAAGGCTATACTACTGAAAGCTTAATTACAGTACTGGAAGAGCATCTACATTGAGTAATAAGGGAAAATAAATCTTTTCTTGCTCTCGTACAGGGTACTGGCATTGTCAAACCTTGAATGGAGTGTAGGGCAAGGCAAAAACCCCCAGGCCCACTTTCCCTTAAGCAATGGGGCGAGGAGTGGCAGGAAATGGGCTCCTCCTGTTCCCGCAACTCATCCAGAGGGCGGCTCAGCTGAACGTCTTGTCACTAGTGGGGAAGTAAACTGCAGCTGGTGATGTTCCTCCAAATTGCAACTCGTGATGGTCCTGGGATAGTGTCATTTGTTCCCTTTATTTTTCAGGCCGGATGTTAATCAAACCTTTAATGAGGAAGAGGTTCATTAGAAATATTTATGAGCAGTGCTATCTTTTAACTTTCAAGACTGTGCACAGGCTTTCTAATAATCCTCTGATAAATCTGTCACTTAAAGCTAGGCATACATATGACTTAGATATACCATGTTTTTTTGAAACATCAGAAACATAGTCTAGATCACAGAAACTGTGCTAGAAAGGCAGAAAGAGAAGTCATGGGAAGAAAATACCAACAGAATCATGTCGGTATAGTACTGAACAGCCTGATCAGAATCAGACTGTTTCTAAGGAAAATCAGCAGATCTTAATCTGAATTTCTCTACTATGACCCTCATCCTACTAATTACCATCATTTTTGGGACTCTCACACGCCCCTGAGGTTGCCAGAACTCCAGTCAGGGCAGGAAATAGTGAACAAGATCAGAATATAGTTCAGCACTAGCTCTGCCCCTGGAAATACAGCTGAACTGGAGCAGTCACACTTCTCCTTGATAAAACAAACAGCGACAACAACAAAAAGTCCTAACCAAGCAAGAACATAGAGGCCAGATCATCAACTGACATAAGCTGGCATAGCTGCTTTGTGTCAGAAGCATCCGTGTTCATTCACACCAACCGAACAACTACTCCACAGCTTTAAAGGGATAGGAAGGGTCAAAGGAAGGATGTATGTTGGAAAGGGCTCTCCATATTTCAAAGATAAGCAACAGAAATAATTTCTGTACTGGTCACTGGGAAATTGATTACCTTGCCCACTCCAGATTTTGTTTTTATTGAAGAAAAAAGTAGGATAACTCTGAAAAGAATGACGCTTTCCTATTGTGACCACTGGAAATGGTAATGGACATACCTCTTAGTTCCTCGCCTGATCTTGTAGTCAGTATTTTCCCCTACAAACCTTCCTCCCCATTTTTATCATCTTAATTGCAATTATATGGGTTTATTAGAGCAGTAAAGCTGTATCAAAGCTGTAGTACCGCAGAAGCCCACAACTCCACAGAGATAGAGACATACATAAATAGAATAACAATAAGGGACAGATACCTTCATTTTCATTTCATTGCCTTAATTATTTTTATGTTTTTCCAGGCGTATTGTACGGGGGCAGACAGCTCAGAGTCTGGCTGAACATAATCCAGAGATTTGCTACAAGAACTTCACTCACTGGGGAAAGAAGGGGGCTTGCCCAATCCCCCAGTTTTCAGGGAATCCTCCTATGGTAAGAACAGTTGTCTTGAGTGTAAATGCAATTTAAAATGTTTACAGTTGACTCTTTTTGTTAAATAACATATGCACTTGCTGTAGAAAAGCAGCTATGTAACCCCCAGTGCTCTTCAGTGGCAGCTTTCTTTACATAAAGCAATAGATTTTGACGCAATGGATTATAAGTGGAAATGGACTACAGACAGACAGACAAACCATTTCCAGTGTGCTGTAAAAAAAGCACAATTAACAGGGAAAGCAAAAGAGCAAATCACATCTGAGAACTGTTTACCCAAAATGTATTTTGCGGCTTGTAGGGATTTCTAGAAAGTGCTATAATCCACATAATAAACAGTTTCACATTATTAATGGACTAATGAACGTTAACAGAAAATTAATGCCTCTAGAAATGTGACATTGAAACTTCAGCTTTTATTGACTAACCAGCCCTGTTGTTCATTGACATTTCAGACTGATCTGTTAACAGAAACCACGTATCTTCCTGCAGTAATACAGATCTGAGTCAATAACACATTCAAAGCTTTATTCCACATTTCACCAACTTACCTTAATTTCTAGACAAAGTCACGCATAGGAAAATACCTTGCTGTAACTCTAGTAGCAACTAAAAATCCAGCTGCAACTCTCAACAGAGAAAGACATTCCCTCTCTGAACAGAAGTAATTTTGAAGGTGTCATATCTCTTCAGGGTTCCCCACTCTGGCTGACAAAGAACCTACATTACTTGAATTTCACATCTGCTCATAGCATTTCCAGGACTCGATGTAATCTAATTGCCATCTTCATCATTTACCTTCTCATTTTATTCTGCTTACAGACATGGAAGTGGGTAGTAGGTCCCATGGTTTTGTACCTGTGTGAGAGGTTGGTGCGGTTTTGGAGGTCACAGCAGAAGGTTGTTATCACAAAGGTATGAGTTGATGCTAAGCTTAACACTAGGCAAAACGCTACCAATTTTTCCAAATGGTGCAGCAAAGCCAATGGCTCCTACATGACAGACACCGTTATCAGTGAAAGGCCTCTCAGGAATGTTCTAGCTGCTATCATGCAAAAATAAGGCCAACTTTTAACATCCAAATGTAGCCTGTCTCTAAAAGGGAGCAAGAGGAGGAAGTTAGTTAAGGCACAGGACTGAGTCTTAGGAAAGTGAAATTAATTTTGCTTGTATCGAGTGAAAAATTCCACAATCTAGTAATTCCATAGACTTAAGAGTATTTAAGATACCAAATCTTTGTTTTCAAAACTACCCAGATATTTAGGAATTCTGATTTTTCAGCAGAACAAATGACTCCTGAAAAGGTGAGTTTAGGGGGTGCCTACTTTCTGCGGCCAAAGCTAATACTGAGTTTCCATTCCCCATGGTGTGTGGCAGAGATATTTAATGCTGCTTCTGAAAGTCTGACAGCCAAATTAGCATGGCACTATGCTCAAATGTATAAAAACTACCCTGGCTTTTCCCAGTGCAATTTCCTCACATGGCACTGTGCTGCATCTTGTGGACATACCCTGGTCAAGTTGTAGCGGGGTTTTGGGGATGCCATTAGATGTCTCTGCTGTGCCCTGGCACGCCGCTGACATGCTGGAAGGCTCCTATATACTACTGTGCTTTTTGGTAATTTTACCAAAATATCTCTGAGCCATTTCTACACCATATGTCTATGGCGTCTGCTTAGATCCCTGTTGGCAGGAAATTTCCTCCACAATCCTAAGCACTGTTATTAATACCTACATTAATAGATAGACTTGATTCTCCTTCTTGCAAATATCTTCTGAAAATTGAAAATAACTTTGGCAGACAACTTCAGAATTAAAAAAACTTAGTGACGGAAATAACTAGCCTTGCTTCTCAAATATTGCTTCTATTTATTCTTGGATAAAGATAGGTAGAATGCAAATGCCCATATTATAGGTCCCACGCAGCTATATCATGAAAACATCAGTTTCCAGTAGTACTATCTATCCAGTTCCCTAGCTGTATGATAGCCCTATGGTTTGCCCCAAATTCATTAACACTGTGCTCTGTGCCACTGTGTAAGGTGCATCTGGAATTAACAATGTGCATACATACATCTGGTGATGTGGCACAAGATGTACCAGTCTGACCTGTCCCTTTTGGACTAACTGCAAGCACGGTGTGAAAAAATACTTCAACCAAAAATTCAGCACCTTCTGCAGTCTTTCTTCTGGCTGCCAGGTGCTGTTCCTCACTCCCAGTTCTGCTGGGAACAAAGTTTCACTTGCTTTCCATGCTCACATAGCAAAAGGCCGATGTTAGTGATAAAGGATGTAGATAAATCTGGTGAATAGTGAAGACAGACTTTTTCTTTTCCCTTTTTTCCCCTTGTCCCTCTCACCATAGGTGGTCATTCATCCCTTCAAGACAATTGAACTCCAGATGATGAAGAAGGGCTTCAAGATGGAGGTCGGGCAATACATTTTTGTCAAATGTCCGGCAGTGTCTAAACTGGAATGGCATCCATTTACATTAACCTCTGCTCCAGAAGAGGATTACTTCAGCATTCATGTTCGTATTGTAGGGGACTGGACAGAGGGATTGTTCAATGCCTGTGGATGCGATAAGCAAGAATTCCAGGAGGCATGGAAGTTGCCCAAGTACGTACAAAGAGTCTCCACGGTAGAGTCAACGAACACCCATGACAGTTTACGTTTTGCTCAATGAGTTTGGTGGCACCTGTGATCCAATCCCTAACCACTTCCATTGTGGATGTGGGCCTTAGATGGCTCTTTCCAGTTTCCTCCTATCAACACCACCTCTTCTTTTGCTGACTAGTATTCAACCCAAATGTGCATTGCTCTGGGCAGTACTTTTTTCTGGTTTTATTGTTATTTTAAATGGTGCTAATAAATATTCAATATCAATTTATTAAGTGTACTTTCAATTTCAGGATAGCTGTGGATGGCCCCTTTGGAACAGCAAGTGAGGACGTATTCAGTTATGAAACTGTTATGCTTGTTGGAGCTGGAATAGGGGTCACCCCCTTTGCATCTGTACTCAAGTCTGTCTGGTACAAATACTGCCATGATGCGACCAACCTGAAACTCAAAAAGGTGCGTGTCCTCTTTCCCAGAACCTATGTAATTGTTCAAGGGCTGACACCAAAACAGCAAAGGTGGTCTGGCTCCAGATGTGCGTGAGTCCTAAGAGAAGAGCCCAGCTACGCCACACGACTAGCCGGGGGGAAGCAGAAAGATCAAAAGCAAAAACATAATGAAAGAAGAAACAGCCTACAAGGAAAATCACACATGTGAATCCTGACTGTGGCCCTGGGGATTTCCACTAACAGTGGAGACGCTGTTCAATCCGTGTGAGAAACACAAAGTCCAAGGCAGTAATACAGGCCATGCAAATATTGCATTCCTTCCCTAAACACAGAGAGAGCGACCTTTTGTCAGTGGCAGAGCACTGCTACCATCCTCCTCTCGCCTCCTGCCCCTGGAAACTCCCTGTGCAGAGGTGCGGGGTCACACTGCAATTCATATTCAGAGAGCAGAACTGGTTATGTTACCTGCTTTAATTTACCTTGCCTGCCAGCAGACAGGGAGATAGAGTCTACCTCTAAATTGTTAATTTATGTCTTTACAAACTGTTTTACAAGGATGTAAGTGGGGAGACATCATGAACTAAAAATGTAACCTGCTGGTGGAAGAGAAATAGAAAGATGTTTCCTTGTTCTTGCAGTCACTCATTCTGCTTCACAACCCTCCCAGCGTCAAAACTCCCAAATAGCTTTGATACCAGCCTACTCATCTACTGAAATGGTCAGGGCAATTTCTACAAGAACTCTACAAGCCTCACTCTGTCAGCAGGTGTAAAATCAGAAAGCATAAGTGCCTATGTCCCCTGACAGCTCACTCTTGTCTCTTCCAGATCTATTTTTACTGGCTTTGCAGGGACACTCATGCCTTTGAATGGTTTGCTGACCTCTTGCAGTCTCTGGAGGCTCAAATGCAGGACAGGAATAATGCAGACTTTCTCAGCTATAACATCTACCTTACTGGCTGGGATGAATCTCAGGTAACAACACGGTGGAAAGTATCGCTTCCATATGCGCTGAGGTTGATGGTTGCGTGTTGTGTTTTGATGAACATTCAAATGGTGTTTATCCATCTGGCTCTCAGAGGTTTTAAATACAGACAGGTGTTATCCATCCAAGTCACATGGGATCAGCATCTAATGTGCACTCTGACTTCCCTTCTGGCTTACCCTGGCTATGCACTCTGGGAAGCAGTCTTTCCTCACAGCAGCAACCTCAGCTGACCATGCAAGTATCTCTAAGACAGCTAATACTGCTTAACACTCAATTAACGGCATTTGGGACTGGAGAAGCTAACACACAAGGACTGAGCAATGGCAGCATATTTGTTTCAGGACTCTCATGAGTTCTCTATCTGGTCCCATGCATGTAGGTCGCTGTGGGGATACAAAGGAGCAGCTCTTCCATGAGCCACCTGAGAATTGTAGAATCATAGAACCATAGAATGGTTTGGGTTGGAAGGGACCTCAAAGATCATCTAGTTCCAACCCCCCTGCCATGGGCAGGGACACCCTCCACTAGACCAGGTTGCCCAAAGCCCCATCCAACCTGGCCTTGAACACTTCCAGGGACGGGGCCTCCACAAATGTGTGATTGAGTCAGGGAAGGTGCTAACTCTGTCAATTTAGTGATGTTTTATTTTACTTATATCTCACAGTTGCAAAATTCACCATGTGCCTAAAATGCTGTAGCTCAGCTAGGGGTGGACACGGAGGAGTAGGAGCAAGGTAGGAAGTTATCACGCATGTAATGGAAAAAAAAAAAACAAAAACGGAAGGAAAGAAGAAAAGTCACACAATTTTTGCTTGGGGAAAAAGTTACCTGTAACTTTCTGGCATACAGAAGTGTTGCAGAACTTAGCAAGGCCTGAACTTACGCCCTTAATGACATCTTCTCTTCCTGGCTTTACTTAGCTGGTCTAGGTGAAAGTTACACAAGGAGGATGGGCAAGACCTCCTCAAATGGATCAAACCTTCCAGAGATCAAACCGGCAGGACTTCATTAAGGTCAAGGGAGTTGTATTATTGTACCTGAAAGGAAAGTTGTGTTTTAATTTACAGGTTTATTTTACAGTCCTTAGACTAAACAAGTTCATTGCAAAAGAAATGTAATTAATTGCTGTGTTCAATGCTTCATAGCTTTAACTCTTGAGATCGTCCCGTCAGGGGAAAAGGGGGAGATATAGACACTGACAGTCAGGACTTCACCAATGTTGCTAAACACCATAAATTCCACATTCTCAGTGTGGAAATAAGTCAGCGTGTATTGATATTTTCATTTTTTTTAACAGGACATAATGCTGCCATATCTAACTCTGTATTTATGCTGTCCTTTGTGTTTCATTTCCCCCAGGCTACTCACTTTGTAGTGCATCATGAAGAAGAGAAAGATGTGATTACAGGCCTTAAACAGAAAACCTTGTACGGGAGACCTAACTGGGAAAATGAGTTCAAAACTATTGCGGGGCAGCATCCTGGGTAAATCTGTACAAATTGATAGTGTCTATGGACTTCCTCTATAGAAATGCCATAATAGCACAATCTTGTTCCTTTGGCTGATAAAATTTGAGGAACATTTTTTTTCTAACAATCTCCAGGTATTTTCTAGTCCTGTTTCAGCCATGGACATGATCTATGGTCTTAACCAAATTGTTTTAACCTACAATTTAAAAAAAATCATCCCTGTTTGGTGAGGTATTTCATGGAGTGTCTAACTACTAGCAGAAGTTTTAGAAAAAGCATACCCCATCATTCCAGCTGAAGAATGTAGGAATATTAGGTGACATCTAAATACCTCCAAAAATGCTTTCTTTTCTATCCAAACCTGAATATGGATGGCCTTTAGTTGAGCACCCAAAATTAGTAGGAATAAACCAGGACAGTTTATTTCAAGTATCTGGGCTGTAGGCTCTTTGGAGCTCTATTTCCTTGATTCTACTGAGGCCAATAACCTGTCTTCACTGGCTTGTTCTGAGCTGAGATGTAGCCCACCGTTTGTTTTAGAAGCAGCAGTAAATGCAAGTTTTAAGAGGTTATAAGTTTTAAGGGGTCGACATCCAGTTCTACCTTAGCTCCTGTAATTGAGGAAAAAAACCTTGCAACTACAGAACATAAGGCTGATTTACACGAAGAACATCCAGCTGCTCCATACTTCGTTCCTGACCATATTTTCATTTTCTTAACAGCTCCAGAATAGGTGTTTTTCTCTGTGGACCTGAGGGCCTGGCTGACACACTCAACAAGCAGAGCATCAGCAACTCAGAAGCTGACCCACGAGGAGTACACTTCATCTTTAACAAGGAAAACTTCTAACTCCCAAAACACGTGGGAGTCATTCAATACAAAGTCTAAAGACTGGATCTCTTTTTTTCTATTTGGAGCCTGGGAAGGACAGCTGAGCTTCTAATCTCAGCTACACTAATGCAAATGCCTTTGCTTCTTGGGAATGATTTTGGCGCTGTGGTAGAGTAAAAGAGTCAAGTTTTACCTTAGGGAAGTGTGCACTGCCCTCCCCATGCTGGCAATTTAGCAAAAATCTGTTTTCTTTGTCTGTGTGAGGGGATTTCCCCTCAATTAACTGCCTTTATCTTGCTGTTATTCGTAATGACTGCTGAAGGGTCTAGGCAGCCATACGCATTTGGGAACCAATTCACACTGATAAAGCTTAATGCTATTAAACAATAAAGCGTTCTAGCATAATGCTTGCTATTAGGAGACAGCTTATCCCGGCTGCAGCCAGTCCCTGGAACGAGGAGGGGTTGGGGAAGGGTGACTGGGAAAGATTGTTCCTTACAAGAGGAAATCTCCTTTGCGCACCCGCATCTTTCAGGCTTCCGAATACAAGCATAAACGTCTTGTCCAAGAGATAGCACAGGCAGCTGAAAAGCAGCCGTTCCTCCTTAGGAAAGGAGAGAACTGGAAAGGAACCACCTGGATTTCTGAGCGCCACCCCGACCCAAGCTGCTGGGGGGTGACGAGGACGGAGTCAAACCAAGTCCTGCACCTGACATGTGAGCCATCGCTCGGCTGCTTCGAACACTCTCAGTTTCACATCTTCAAATTCATGGTGCAGGGATCCAAACAAGAGGTTTTGTGTTTTCAAGACTGCCATTTCTGATTTTCAAGGCTGAAAAACCTTGTTGCTAAATGATTTAATGGGTATTTTCTACAGCATTCTTAAAAGCATACAGTACTTTTGGCTCTATTGTTCAGCTGTTCCTTTTTGGTGGTCAAACAGGTTTGAGAAAGCAAAGATCATGTGGTCAGTATCTGGAATAGCTATGAATAAAGTTTCTGATGCATACAAGACACCCATACACAGCACAGTACTTCTGTAGGTACATTACAGGTAACAGGTTCTTAAAAACAAAAAAAAAAAGGAAGCAAAACTTTTAATACTAGCAGCGGGGGGGGGGGGGGGGGCGGAGTAGATAACATGCGGGGGGTGGGGGGGGGGGGGGAAGAGGATTAAAACCAGCAGCATAGAAAAATATTAAAAAAGAGGTGCAAAAAGCCTTAAAAATCCGGTTTAGTATACCATGGGGCTCCTGTTCAGCCCAGTCACGTGCTTCCTGCCTTTTAAACTCAGCAGCCAAGTGCTGTGAGAGTTCCTACACAGCACGAGACCTTCCTGACAGGTTCTTACAGTCACAGAAGAAAGTGGTGGCCTCCTCCTGCAATTTCAGACAAGTTTATGTACCCATCTGCTGCATGTAGTATATTTTACACCTCAACTTGACTTTACATGGTTTTTAAATGTTATCCAAGCACTCCATGCTACTTCGGAAGGACAGCTTACGAGTGCGTGTTTATTGATACCAGTTTCTGTGAACTGTTAAATGACACAATGACTTATATCAACATCTGAAGGTGAGGAAGCCACAGTTGGCGACAGCTAGCAAAGATCAATTCTTGGTAGGGAATTTTTCAGTTCTTTCCCTCAGAAGGGCCATATTTACATCCACATAATTCTGTTTAAAACACACCTATTAGAATAGAGCTTAAGCAGAATTAAAGAAACTTTTTCTGTGGAATAAAAAAATGCTACTGAAATACAACAAGGCGCTCATCCTGTGCAGAGGGCATTGAAATATTTGGCTTTGATTTTAACGGAAATATAATCAAACTTCTATGCTGTTAGAAAACAGGCAAGGAGGAATTGCAAGGGGTCTAATAGAGACAGCACATTTATTATGTGAAGATAAATATCTTGGAGGGTGTGCATTTTAATTCACCCATTAATTTTCTAAATGTTGCCATGTTTGTTCTTAAAACTCCAGGGATCTCTCCTTACTCAGCCATTTGTAATGATACTCTCTGACCTGCTGCACATGTGTACCAGGGGTTGTTTGTCACCTCGAACTCAGAAAAAAGAATTCTGTGCTTATTACTAAACCACTGTTTTCATAAAACATAGAAAAGAATAAGCAGGTGGGAGCTTTTCAGTTTCTTTCAAAGGTTTGTTGAATTAAATCCTGCTAAAAAAGCAAGCCATGGATTATCAGTCATGGTCTGAATATGAAGTTTTTTTAAAATCTAGGATTCATGAGTGAAACAGATAGTACTGAAATACAAACATAAGAAACAAACTAGTCTGAGTCCTCCCTCCTCTTCAGCAAAGCACAGAGCGATCTCAGTGGAACTGTTTTAAGTCAATGCTGCTGTCTTCTTGTGTGGTAAAGGCGCAAAGCCCTTCCTCCAAATGCTTGCCCATTCTATAGAAGTTCCTCCAATTAGTGGTTTAACTGGTAAGCCAACTTAGATAGAGACCTTTTCTTAATAAAACATCTTTTACAACACTTACATTAGATATAAAGCCCAGGCCTGTGTTAAATTCTTAGACAACTGTAGCTGCATCACCACCACAGCTTCCCAGGCAGGACATTCAGTGCTCCTCATTCACCCAGAGGAGAAGGCTGGGGCAGCAGGCTTCAGGTGAGCTTCAAGGATAGTCCTGTTTTGTGGCCAAATGCCACTTCTTGTAATCTGACCATTGCTATTGGCTGGGCCTCTCGCTGAAAATTCCCTCCTTCTGTGTGTTTGGGGATTTTCTCCCTTGGGGCAGAGGAAGGGGTCACTTTCACAATAAACCGATTCTCTTGCTGTCAAATTGCTGTCTCCAAATCACCTGCCCTAGAAACAAAGGGTGGTTTCTCACCTTTGTTTGAGAAACTGTACATGGTACTCAGCAGTTTAGGCAATGCTATCTGGCACCGTGACCCTGCTGCAGTAGCACCAGCAAGGTTTTCTGAAAGGCAGGGATGTCTCAAGGTTGCTTCTGCAGACAGCGGGGGGAAGCAGCACAAGGGAGTGGCAGTGCTGAAGGCAGGACTTGAGGGAAGCCCCGTGTTTCATTGATAAGGGTCAACTGCCACCACAAAACTCTTTCTCCCATCTTTACTAAGCTCCTGAGCTTTGCCACTGCCCACGCTCGCCAGAGTCTCTGAGCACCCTCCAGAATCGTTCCCACTTCCAGTGGGATCTAAACACTACAAGTAGCTCTCCCATTAAGGCTGTCCCTTAACAGTAACCTTTGGTCCTAGCTCTGCCTCATCTTTTAGATGACTCTAAAAGAGGTAAGAATCTCTTAGCACTCCTGACATCATCAGTAGAGACAGGAGCGCAGTCTGTGTGACATGCACTATTGAACTCATGCTGTACCTGAGTTTACAAAGTGGACTGACGTCTGATTTGTCCTTCCATCCAGTTCCACAAATTACTTATTCAAATGAAAAATTCTCTGCTGATGGCAAGAAAAGACAGTTCTTGTTGGATTACTAAAATAACTGCTTCAACTAATGGAAACAGGAGTTCAATTCAAAGTCACTGAAGAGAAAAGTTGGTCTCACATACGGCCTCATGTCAGCACGTTTTCCTTCCCTTCTTATATAATATTTTCTCTGCCTTCCCATATGTAGTCATCTGAACTGAGCAGTTAATTAATTCATCAATAGCCTTGATTTCCAGTCCACTCTAGTTAGTCTTAGTTAAGGACCCTGATCCTCCGGGGTGCTGGGCAGTTCTGGTTTCCATTGGCCTCATCTTGATTTCAGAAACCAGAAGGGGGCTCTGGAAGGGGCATGGCACCTGGTCATATCCAGATAATATATTCAAATAAGACCTTGATATGTACTAGGTCTCATCTAGTCCTCCTTCATTCCCTAGTACATAAAAATGCTACTCTGCCTGTTCACCATTATTTATGTCCCGAAGGAAACCACCCTGGTTGCAAAATAGGTCTTCCTCTTTTCAGTCTTGTAAGACTTTCTCTGCTGGGTGGGGACTTTCTGCCTCTCAGTCCTCAAATGGTGGGTTAAACCAAATTAGAAACTGAAAAACAAACAAAAAGCTGCCTGTGAAACACAAGGTATTTTTGAATAAACAAGAACTAAAGTTAGGGTCTCATTATGGCACTTTTTCTCAAGATCCTGTTCTATTTTTGGAGTGTTCTTAGCAAAATAATGTTGATATTGGTTTTATTTTTCCATCTTTCAATGATTTCTTTGTAAAATTCATAGCGAGGTGTAAGCCCTGACACCTCAAACACATAGATATATATGCTCAAAGGAAGCTAGGCACATACATTAAGATGCTAATGGTTATAAGCGTTGGCAGGATCAAGATCCTCGTGTCTGACTGCATACAACAATATCAGTTCCACAGACACAAGCCAGCGTAGTTATTTGTCATGAGCCACACATTCATTTTTGCATTTCATACAGACCCTAGCAACCTGCTGGTCTCATTTACATTCACTACACACAAACCAGCCCAGACTAGCAGCAAAATTAATTACAGTAGAGTGGAAAAGTGTTGAGAGATTTGCTGAAAGCTTACAAATGCTTTCTGCTAACCTCATTCCCTCCCTTTCCACTGGTACTCTTCTGCCTGGCTAATTCGTGTATCTCAGCCCACTCAGCTACCACAGATTTCTCTCCGTTCGTCCTCTTCTATTAATTGCTGCTATTGCCCCTTCACTCACCCACTCCGTTCTGCTCCCCAGTTCTGCAAGTTTCCCAACAATCTCCAGCTTCCACAATCTTTTTGCCAATTTTGCAAGTGCTTGTGCCCTCTGAAAGCGCAGGGAGAGGCACGAGGGCTTCGCTCTGAGCTCCAACCATTGCAGCGCGCATCTTGCATAACATGATTCAGCTGCATCCTCCCCTGTCACTACAAATAGACCAGGGCTGTAGCCACCTCTGCATTGCCCAAACAGACTACTTCGGTCCCCTCCCGTAATATTCTCTCCTCCTGCTTAATGATTTTTATTTTAAAATCTACAATGAAGGAAATTTATGAGCTGCTCTGATCTAGTATTTCAGTATGTGTGGGTCAAATTATGTACTTTTATCCTGTTAAACATACCTGCATTTGACCCTACATTTCATTTGTATTGATCAGAAATGAGAGAAAAGGCCAAAAAACTCACACCCTCCCCCAAACACCCACTCACCCTGCTGAGCATCATTATAGAGGGAGGGAGGCAGGGAGGGAAAGGCCAGC